TTGCTCCAGTGATCTCAGTGTATATAATACTTCCTCCTGGGAAAACAGAGCAAGAGTATAATGGGACAAATGTTATTAATTTGTTTCTTCTGTGACTGCCTTACAGATTATTAATGACAGTGATGGTTAAGAGAATGATTGTCTTACCTGACACACGTTACAGGCTGAATTCAAGGGGCTGGCATTTAAGAAAATGTAATGGAGTGCCTTTGTTACAAAAGTCATTGCAAGACTGGACAAAGAGAAATGTCAAAGTAAAGCCTTGCTTTTGTCCTCTAGCAAGACTACTGTGCTGTTTATAAAATACATTTTAAGCATTAAATGGTTACATCAGTAAAGCTGAAGAAAGTAGACAACCAAACCTGCAAAAGGAATGAGTCATGATAGGGAAAACTACTTCCATTTGCAATAGGATTGAGTCCATCTAAAATGGTGGTACCTCAAAAAAGGTAAACCTTTTTTCTGAGGCTTTCTGGAAGAATGTTATTTGAATATGAATTTCAGACATGCTGCTTATGGATGTTGTCCATTAACAATATACTTTTCTTCCATAACAGCTTGCACGTAGCACACCTTTGTATTTAACAAAGTTCTGTTGCTACCAAAATATATTGAGGCCATTTTCTCCTGGGGCTGTTTTCCCCTCATAACACCTTTCCTGCGTGAATTTTTCTTGTATTTAATTACGTACTTGAGATCACACATCACAGACCTTATGAAACTAAGACTTCTGTTCCTCTGACAGATGTGGCTGAAATTGGCCCACAGGTTCAAAGCTGCTAGAGTAATGGACAGGCAAAAATATAACATAGGCCTTGTTATTTGTTGCAGAGGCTTACAAAGTGAGATTATGCAGGTGACAAACTCAAAGGAAATTTATTCTAACCAAAATTAACAGGTGATAAACTAGGAATGAAGTTTGTTCTAATCAAAATTAGTAAACTACAGGTTCAAGATGCCAAACAAAATTAATACTACACAACCGACGTAAGAACTCTTAAGCTTTCACAATGAGGATCCAAAGTGTGCGTATCACTTATAAGATGAGGGCTCTCAACCTCGAGGAGTTACCTTGGGTGGCATCCTGACCCATGGGGAGAGTCCCTGCCTGCAGACCTGCTGCTCTGGGGAGGACTGGCTCCATTTTCCCTCTGGCAGGACTCCATTTATACCCTTGGTCAGATCTGATCTGTGGTCGTATATGATCAGCAGTCTATAAACTTTTCTCGACAGAAGTGTTTCATTGGCTGAGGGCCTTGCCTGTCGAGCAAAAAACGTACGTGAGAGTCGTCACTAGGGAGAGCTGTGGTCCGCAGGTCGAGAGGTTTCTAGTGTTGTCAGGGAGGGTGCACCTGCCACATTATTTTGGAAAACCACTTTAAAAAATGGCAATAATCATAAGCCATCCTGGAGTCACTTCTTGGTAAGAGTGATAACACCTTACAAAGATGCAATGCTTCCAGCTACTTGAATTCAGCAGCAGAGCACCAAGGAGGCTGAGTGCTTGAAGAAGGTTAGCAGTTCTCAAATACACTGGGTAAGGGGAGACAAGGGTTGTAATAAAGGATAAAGATTTCAAAGCTTTCACTTTAGTTTACTTATACACATTAAGTGGCCAAAAAAGACTTGGAATGTTAAATGAAGAAATAGGTTACTTAAAATAGGCAAAGAATGAGAATAAACCAATAGGGCTTTATAAAAAAACTTACCTGGATTCCTGGAAGATTAGGAAATCAGTTGTAAGTCACTGGTAGAGTTCATTTGACCTGGCAGTTATTAGACCAAAGAGGGGGTTGTATTTATGTCTTAGCAGCATGTCATTTCTTAATTTATTCCTTAGAAATATACTGGCACATTTTATATTTGATCTTTATCCAGGGTGTGAGAAGGGATTGTGTAAGAACATCAAATCATAATATTCTCTATTAATTTTTTAGTACGTTTAGAAGTATAAAAATTGACTGTGAATAGTCACTTCATAACATATTATGAGCAGGCTTGGATTTATCAAAAAGGACTAGATTTTCATATCCTCAAGCCACTTCTTACAAATGAAAGATCCTAATCTAAGTCCCTGAGTCCTTGTTTAAGCTCTTGAATAAAGGAGATTTCTCTTTTATGTCTTCCTTTCTGCAGCTTTTGAATGGAATGATTAAACAACGCAAATACACTTTGAAAGGAATCTGCTTTATACTCTGCTTAACACAATGATAACAATTTTCATCAATTCTCTCGAACTGTAGGTGACAAAATTATTGGAAGAACTGAGAGAAGCTAAGGAGTACCAGAGTCCTGAAATGAAACACTTCTTGTGCCTGGAAAAGAAAATCAAGCATATAGAGACCAGACATGCAGAAAGAGAACAAGAAATTCAAAAGGTACACCAGAGTATATCTGCGTTTACTTCCCGAGAGCACTATATTGGTTTAACTGTAATTTTGATACTAGCACAGGCTCGTCCTGCTCCCCTGCAGTGTGCGCTAGTACTTTTTGATACAGCCATGGTTTTGTCTTTGGTGCCTGCTGATACAAGTGAATGTAGATGCCATCCTACTAGTCAGCACATCCTTGCCGTGGCTACCTGATCTAAGGAGGCCTTGCTTTTGCACAGGGTCAGACCACATGACCTCCAGAATTTCTTTGTATCATTCAGTTATTTCATATTTCAGTTACACAGCAAAAGCTAGCTATTGAAACATTGACCAGAGTTTGTAATGCGGGGTTTGTTAAGCAACATTTCTCAACTGAACTCTAATTTTTATTTTCTAGTCCTAGAATACCCATTCAGAAAAGCTGCATTAAAAGTATAGAAAAACCCTGTAGCAGTCTACCACATACTGTTTTTAATACCAGAAAATGACCAAAAAAAAGCCTTTACCCTCCACAAACTAAAAATCTGGTATTTTGAAGTTTTGGATCTTTGTGATACAGCTTCTTGTATCTGACGTGTATTCCTTGAATGAGTGAAACAATTTTGCACTGATTTTTTTCATCTTATTTTATGTCATGGCTTCCATCCTGATTTTTCATCTGGCGAGGGAGCTTCTATCATCTGGAAACAGTTTTCTAGTTTATACTTTTTTTTTTTTTTCCTCAGCACTTTAATCGCTTAAATATATGACTGTCTTTCTTTAATGTTTTAACTTAGGTTTTATTTAAATACGTAAAGTCAAAGAAGGGGATTTGGACTGGAAGATCATCAGACCCATAATAGTTCCTAGTTTGTAGAACTTGTTCTATAGTTTTGAAACCAAATCTCACGGAATACACTTTTATGTACAGAACTGTTCATGGTAGAGGGTTTTATTCTCATACATTTCTATATCAGATATTTAATTTTCTTACAAAAAGAGCTGTGTATGAAACAAGTGACTGGATTAAGAACAAACCTTGCCAGCACTAATCATGTTAATATTTTGGTTCACATTCTGTCCTGCTAATGGCAACTGTAGTAGTTACTTTTTTGCTATTCATTTGCTTTCTTATAAAGTTAGAATTTTTTTATCATTTCTGTAAAGTGTCTGCTGCTGCCTAGTCCATGAACTATCTCCTCTGAATTCATTACCTGACCTGTAGTATTTACTCAGATGTTTCATAATGAATTTTTAAAAAACAGAAATAATAGTATGTATAATAATTACTTCTACGTAATTTCATCTTTCCTGGTGCTACTAACCTTGTTATGTACTAAGCTTTGGATTTTGTTTTGCACCTTTATTCATCTGCAGTGGGGCACCAAACAGTCTCCCAAGTGAATGACAATGAAATGAACTAATTACTGAACAAGGAAATAACAGATTTTCTTTAGTATCAAACTACAGTTACAGTAGTTATAGATAGAGCTTTCCTTAAGGAATCCGTTACAATTAATAGTGGTGTGGAGATTTTGATACCCCAAAATAAAGTGTCACAAGGTAATTTAATAGAATTATGCCCTGGATGCATGTCAAAATTAATTCAAACTTTTATCTGCAGCAGCCTCAGACCTTTGTGACTAAAGCCTGTTTTCTGATAATTCATAGAACTTTTGTTTTTTTAAAAGTACAGCAGTAGCCCAGAACATGTCATTCAGCTTTGGTATGTTTCTCTTGCAGAGCATTCTTTTGATTAGCATATTGAAATAGCAATTTAAAAGGTTCACTTTGATTATAGAGGGTCTTATGTTGTACGCTCAGCTTTGTCATAAATATTCAACACCTTCAATTGCTGCTTTGGAGACGGTAAGTTAAATTCTCTCGAGGCTCATTAGTCAATAATGGATTCTACCCTTCTGTCATTAATGTGGCTATTTAAAGGAATTCATTGCTATCAGAATGATTTTTGTAATATTCATAACAAATTGTTTCCACTTAATGTGGGCACTGGGCTTTGAGACTGAGCATCAAATACAATGAAGTGGCGTATTTTTGCAAAGGGGCAGCGCTGGCTGAGTAATTGACTAGGAAGTCACAATGCTGACTTGCTTCTAATTTGCAGGCAACCCAACTAACACAACATATTACTGAAGCAAGGCAAACCCGTGAGGCTGAGAGGTGGCGAAGACTGGCACAGTGGAAGAATCAAGAGCTGGAGAAATTTCGAGTGGAATTGGATTCAATATTAGATGTTTTACGTGAACTGCAGAAGCAAGGGGTTGTTATTCCGGCACCTAATTGCAGTGGATTCAGCATAACAGACAGCTGTTGGAAGACATGATTACGTAGGACATGATTACAGAAGCAGAATTTTAATATTCAAAGCTATATATAGAAAATACTGAAAATCATTAATGTAACACTCATAAACTGAATTACATTCTGATCTTATCTGGAATCTTGATTGTCCAAAGGTAGATTTGCATTGAGCAACACCGTGGTGATATTATTTTGCTAGGAATAAAGTTACATGCAACTTTTTAAAAATATTTGGAATATTGAGGTTATTCCATAAATTCAATTGCCATGAAAAATTGTATTTGATGCTTTTCAAATAGTGCAAAAAATGCCTGAATATTTTTAACGTTTTTTTATAACTTGTCTTATAGTTATTCCTCTGTGAACAATTTGAGTAATATGGTTGTAATATGGCTTGTATTTTTAGTGTATAGGGATTATTTTTCATTCAGTAGGGCATGAAAATCCTCTTTTTCCCACATTTTTTTTCTCTCCCTCTAATTCATAAAATGTTCCTTCCCTTATCTTTTAAGACCCCTTTTAACTTTGCTCCAGCCCTCCAATCATTCACAGAGCAGGCATTCTCTGGTGATGCTCAAATTCAAACTAGACCTTCCTTTGCAGGTATTTCCAGCTGTGCTAGTAAGAATGATGGTGGAGTGGTCTAGCTAAATTGTTATGGGGCAGAGATGAAAAAAGCCTATAAAATACAGTGTGAGAATAGTTATTGGGATTCCCTTTAAAAGGGAAGGCTATATTGAGTAAGATTTTTACACTGGGCTATTCTGGATCTCACATAGTAGTATCTTTATAGATGATCTTGACAGAACAAAGAGTCCCATCAGATGTAAAGACAATGTACTATTGCTCAGCCTGCAAAGATATGGTAGTGGGCAAATTTAGAGTTAAAATACTGAGCAAGTTGGAAAAGAGGCCAGAAAATACCCCCAAACACCTGTAGTCCCCAGGAGTGACAAAGGAGACAAGTATGCTTAAGCAGGAATAATCCATTACCCAAATACCAAATGGGGATGTAACTTTCTGCTCAACTACCAGGAACAGTCGTGGGTATCAAGCTGATTGTCAGAGACCAGTGCCTTCTCCTGCTCCTCTTATGCCCTGCTAGAGTTACACACCTAAGTGTACAGCCTGTAAGATACTAGGTAGCACAGAAGCAATTCCTACTGCATCGCTAACATGTGACTTAGTGTGCTGAGCTTTTGGTCCCTTTGTTTCAAGAAAGAGATGACTAACTTGAGGGAAAAGAATGATCAGCAGTCTAGAAAATGTAGCCTTAGGAACCACTGAACCCCCTGGGGCTGCCCTGCTCCAGTGAGGAGGCTGGGGAGAGAAGATGAGGGTGGCTATATTACACTGGTCTTCTATGAAAAATCTGCTGGTAAAAGGATAGAAAAAGAAGATAATTCCAGGTAGAGAGCTGTTTGGGGACTAGAAGGACAGGTCTTCAAACAAATCAGCAAATCATTACTTTCAATGCTGACACTTTAAAGTCCTTAAGCATTCCAGAGTACATGTATTAAGGTTGTAGCTTAATCAACTGAACTTATTTAGGGCAAGGAAAAGATAAAAGCCAGAATGTACTCTTCAGGTCCCTGTAAGAGGGGTCAAAGTTAGCATTTAAGTCAAATGTGAAATAGCTCAGGTCAGTGTATATGTAATCTACATCTCATGCTTCTTCAGGGGCCAGCAGTAAATGTGCATTTTGTTTTATACAAGCATGTGACTGAGCATGCATAAAAATCAAAATAGTAAACCAAATTATAATGTATAGGCACAGTAATTAAGTGCAGGGATTATTTTTTTTTGAGCATACACAAACATTGAGTGAGAGTATATACACATATATAGAGATACATTAAAAAAAAAAGGTCAGTTGGTAATGAATATGGTAATCTTGGTTGTTTCATATGCAGATATTGCATTTGTCATATTGTTTTGTCCCCCAGTAATGAAGTATTAGTCTGTATTCATAAAATACATAAACATGATAATGCTTTGTATATAAAATATCAGCTGTGTGTAAATATGTTGTATTTTCTTGATTTGGGCCCAATTTGCAAATGAAAAAGATAAAATTCAGTAATTTCAATTGTTTATTTCCTGTATAACTTGCAATATGTGTAACACTGTAGTAAAGTGTGTGTTACCTGAAGTGATTTATTTTTTTAAATTACAGGAACCTGTGTCTTCCCAGAAAGTTGCCCAGGATGGGAATGCCTAGGGAAAAGCATTTCTGGTTGCTAGCAACACTCCCTCTTAGGTCATCAAGAAGGGGTTGCCTTAGTGGTCATGTGGTTCATTCAAACACTTCTATTCAGTTCTCAGCAAATGCTGGTATCTTATACAGTTTGAATCAAATTTCCAATTAAATTCTCTGAGTCTATTTTAGTGACCAGGGATGGTATTATTTACCATTACTGTAAGACATATACTGCATTTTCACATGTATTTATGTAGTTGTACACTCACTGAAGTCTTCAGTTTTTAGCCATTTACCATAAAGTGGGCAGCCTACACCATAACAGACTATCTCTGGTCTTGAACAGCTGTAATAATGGTGTTCTTTCTCTTGAGGGAACTAAGGTCCAAGTTTTAACTTCTCTGCTAAGTTACTAGTTCTTGACTCTCTAGCAGTCTTAACAGCACAGAAAGGGGAAGATATCCTGGAATAGAACAAAGGCTAATAAGGAGGTTACTAGCTTTTACTGTATTCCACAGAGGATTTCAGTGGGATCTTTCAGAGAGTATTGGAATTATATACTCCTTGTGCATTTTTTTTCCTTTTATATCATACTAGTTAAACATGTATTTCCAGAAGGCACTACAATGGACTAAAAAAATCTTTAACATCATTTCTTTGAATCATTGCTGTATTCATTTGTTTACAGCAAAGCAGCTGGAGTGTAATAATTTGAACTGTCATGTTGAAAGCTTTTAGGAAATCAAGTGAGCAGCTGGCTGGGTGACTCAATGACCTACATTACAGAGAAGACATTTGCTTCAAGATAGGAAAACAGGGTGTGCAGAAGACTATCAGATCTCAGTGTGGTAGACAGAAGCAGTGTGTTCTCTTTCAAGTTCTCAAAAAAACATTGTTCATGTAACAAATTAAATAGGTTATCATGGATGAAAGCTTTATTTGATAGTATGTAATACATTTTGAAGTCTACCACTTTATCTAGTATTTAACCTATTCTGGAAAAAAAGAAGGAAAACCTATCTGTATACTAGCAGTAGCTGTGCAAATCCACTTCTGCAGGGAAGAGGGGGGCATGGATCAAGCACTGACGTGACTCTTGAGCAGAAAGTCCTCTAATAGCTTTAAACAAACATTACCATTCAGCCTTTCATACAGCTACCTACATACCTTTTATCCAATAATACGAAAGCACAGGCCTTCAACTCTTGCTCTTGTTGGAGAACATGTGGTAAAAGGCTGTGGCTCTGTGCTGTCCTTGCTACCTGTCAGTACCTGAGGCTATGGAGTAAATGCAGTCCAGCTCTGCAGCATCTCCAGTTGCTTTATTTAGCTTTGTCATCTTTCACTGCCAGGAGGACAGGACAGGGCAGAGTAAAAGGGGGAAAGCACAGTTGAATTCCTCCCTTGCCAGTGACTTGTGAAGGAGCTTGTGGGGTTCTTTTAAGCAGAGGGACAAAAAAGGTCATTATTAAAATATTTAAGATCCACAGGCTCAGGTGCACAAATACTAAATTGCATGACAAATACACATCATGTACTTCACCTTTTAGCCACAGGACCATATATCACTGGATTTTAGTAAAGTCATGGTTTTACTTTTCCCTTTTCTCCATGAGCAGGCTATTTTCTGATTTTATATTGTAGGTTTGTGTTACAGGTTTTTTTAAAAAGGTACACAACTGAAACTTGTTTACACAGAACATTCTATAAATATTCACCTTTGAAAACTGGAACACATAATCTAGTAAGTTCTTACAGAATACATTACATGTTTATGCAAACATACATACATAATTATCTTAAAGGAATTTTCAGTGGAGTTAAATCTACCACAGGTGATGCATTTATAGTGAGCTTTGAGAAGAGACCGAGACAGGCTAAGCAGTAAGAAAACTTGCAATAATTCCATTTTCAAAGACCATTCAATTCCAAGTACTCCTTTGGAAGGATTACCCCATCCAAAACACACTATTCACAGTGAACCAACTCATGTTTGTTTTCTAAAAAAAGATTAATTTTTTAAACATTTATACAAAGTTGGTTATTATACCAATCACCTTTCCCTGAGGAAAAATATTGTGTCTGTTAGTTCTTAAAAAGGAAAAAGAAAGAAAGAGCAGCTTTAAAATAACTACTTTTGAAAACTGCAGAAAGTTTCTGCATTTCCCTTTCACTCTGCTCTAATGCAGAGGCAGAGCAAAAATCTGAACCAGACTATTGCTGCCACAGAGCATCTGAAAGTCATGTGAGAGCTGTGTAGTGGGAACTTCCAGGTTATTTTTCTGTAAAATGTAGCATCAAGGTCTTTAAAGTTAGAAGATGAAAAAGTAGAACCACCATCAGGGAAGAACAGAAGCAGGAACCAAACACTTAAATACCTTTACAGGATTAATTCATGCTTCAGAAGGAAACTAAGAATACAATTCAAATGTATTGTAAGTTAAGTTGGTATTATCCTTCAATCATTTTATTAAATACTTTTCATCTAGGCATTCAGTGTCATCAGCATCCATACACATGAATATTCCTTTTTCCCAAAAGTAGCAGTTATACACCAAAAAATGTCACAAAGATTTAAGGTAGCAGAATAAAAACTTAGATTAGCCCACTGGGAATAGCAAGCTTTTCTTTTTCTAAAACCAGACCTGCATTATTTTGAAATGTAGTTTTAAATGCTTTAAAAATAAGCTTCATTTCTCCATTGCAGGAGATGGATTCTGCAGATTTTCCCCCTCATTTAAGCAGCATTTCTCTTTCCAGGCATGGCAAAGGAAAAAAATTTAAAAAGAATAGCTCAAACATCACAGAAGTCAGCTCACTCATCCAGAAATGGGCTATAAAAGCCACACTTAGTAGAAGTCCCAGAGCTTGTTAACAAGAACTGTATTGAGCTTCAGTTCACACAAAGCTTAACCATCAGATTGCTAACAGCTGCTAGAGGTGCCTCAAGAGGAAGCAGTTGCCACATTCAGAAGGCAGATTTCCCAAATTTGTTAATTTGGGAAGAGAAAAGTCCATGACTACAGCCTTCATACCTGTGGCTGAGTACTTACTGTAAAAGGAGCCTTTCCTGCACCTGGAGCAGCATCCAGGAGGCCTACACTGCAGCCCAAGCAACTATGGTCATTTGTAACAGGGTTCACTTCAGTCTTCTCTTGTGAACTATTTTCAGTAATCTGCTAGTTTTAAGCCATATCTGTTTTGCTTTTAGTATAATCCCATTATTTTCAGAACTAGGAAGTAGTGCAAGAATTACATTTAAAAACAGGAAATTTGGATTTAAGTGGTTTATGATAATGGCACAGGAGATAAAAACAAGAGGTGTGTCCCCCCCCTATTCTTTAAATGCACAACCCATTCACTATTTTTTCTATTTGTCAGGTGAAGAAACATTGAATTAATCAGTATTTAGGTGTCTGAAGAATGTATCAGCAGGTTGTTGCTACATTGTCACTGACACAAATAGGTTGCATACAAAGCAGGTTAGTTTCAAGAAAACTCAGTTAAGCACAGTGTCTTCAATCTACTAGATTCATTTAAGATCTTCCTACAGAGCACTCGTATTCTAAATCCCGCAGAGGATTTGAACCTGGCTCCTCTGCATCTTTTGTGCTTGCTCTAAAACCATTTGGCCATAAGTTACCATTTTTTGAAGAAAGCTGAAGTGTACTGGCTAAGGTTCAGAACCTTATTCCTTCTCTAAAAAATAAAAATTAGAGATTGAAATTACACCTGTTCAATTCTTTTAACAAACCCTTCCCTGGGAGAACAGCTGTATGTTCTCCTACGTGAGTATAAAAAGATGGAACAAGTGCAGCTCAGCTATGATTTCAGAGCTGGTCCTCCCAACAACTAAAAGCCTGCTAGCCCATTACTTAAGAAAGGGCCATTTATAGAGCCAAAAAGCAGAAGAAGGTTCAGCCTATAAACCAAGCATACCACCACCATTTGCGTATAGTAACTATTAGCAAAAGCAGCATAGTTTTTAATCCGATATCCTGTAATTTAGCTACTGAAGTTCACATTTGCCAATCTGGAAGTTTGCATCAGCAATAAAAAGTCAAATTACTGTTTGTGTGTAGTATACTAATTCCAGGTCATCAACAGAGTGACATTCTGACAGCTGCCTAAAGTACTATAATTACAGGCACCAATTTGCTTTTACTTAGCAGCAGGTGGTGGTAGCATTTTGTAAACACTGTAACCAAACAATTTAATATGCAAGGTGTATTCCCTCTGGAAGCTTTGTAAATTGGGTTTAACCTGCACTAAAAAGCAGTTAGGAATCAGAAATTGAAGTTAAGCAGATATCCATTGTGCTGCTCAGTTTCAGGTGTCCTTTTTGGGAGTAGCAGAAGCTGCAAAACCTCCCCAGGGGCTGCCTGTTTATTCCTTGCTTCAGTCTTAATTTGAGGTTTATGCTTTTCTTGGCCAAGGAACATTCATACACCTCCCAGTGCCAGGCTCCAGCCTTCACAGTTCTCACAAATTATTATGGTATCCTTCAGAAGCTGGACATAAACAGTCATTTAAAAACAAAAGAACAAGGGAAAAAAAATCAGGAAGCAAAAGTAATGCTGGGCAAAAGGTTTAGACCACAGAAGGCATCAGAATAAGCATCCAATATTTTGCTTCTTGTCTAGACTGAGTCCTGTCAGCACAGCCAGTTTTACATACAACAGGTCTGAAATACCTTCTATCAAAATACCAGAAGGCCAAGAAAGGCTTCAAACGACAATAATGGGAATGTTTACCTTAAAGACTTCAGTCAAGGATCCGATGGGAAGCTTGCATGACTGATTTGCTTTCTAAAATGATTGGTGGCTCTGAGATGAGGAGATCATCCTCACCTAGCGAAGAGTTCTGCTCGGTGTTCACAAAGTTAGGAATGTTAAATTTTGTAAGACAATTTAGGTCCTCTTCAAACACTGCACTGCTCCTGGGAACTTCCTGGAAGTGGATATTATTTTCCAGACCCAGACCTTTCCGACTTTGTTTTGCTTTGTCCAAATGTTCTACTTCATTAATACAGAAATGGAAAAGGGACTGGGATTCTTCAGCTATTTGACGAGAAAAGACCCTCTCTGATTCCAGAGGTCTTCCAAAATCTGCCACAAAGCTATTCATGCGAAATCTTTTTTCAGAAGGTTCTGAATTGCTAGGGAGGAAAAAGAACAATACAGTAAACACAAAAGTAGAACTATTCATGTCTAAACAGCAAATTTGGTTTCAGCAACCAATATGATCAGGAAGAAAGGAAACCCTACAGTTTATCTACAACAGACTTTAAATTCCAGCACTATTTATTACTGAAGCTGTTTTAAGTCTTGATTTGTCATGATAATTTTCCATGAGAATCAGTTATCAATACCAGCACTCTGAAATGGCACTTCTAGTAATCCAAGACCGTAACAATCAGCTCACTGAATAAGCTTAGAAATTTCCTCTTGATATCAAGTAGTAGCAAGTTTTAAATGGCTTACAGAACACTTTGAGAAAAATCTTTTATAAAAAAAAAAAATAAGTCTGAGACACAGGCAGCACTGCTGTCACTAAAGGCATAATTTGGGTGCTTGGTTGTCCAGACGTCAAACCACCTTTTCCTCTGACTTCGGTCAATGACGTTCAGATCTCCAAATTAGGAGAGCTGGAACTAAAGACTGCTATAAAGCTGACAGTCTTAACAGCTCAGACACATAGCCCAGAAAGGACACATTAACATCTTTCTTGGAGTTTTTTTAAGAAGTGTAAGTTCAAACCAGCTCCAATCTGCATGGACTCATAAAGGAGCCATGAACAGCTAGGGATGAGAAAAGTTCAAACTAGATGGAAGTTTTACAGATAGCAATACATTCTTTGTCAGGCTGAATTTATATGCTAGCATCACAACATGAAAGTTACTTGCATCTGAAAGGCAGTAGATGTATTCAGAAGACGAGTAGTGAAAAATCTAAACATATTCTCTGAATATAGATCTTTTCAGGTAAGAACTAAATCTTATTGTTTACATGTGAACATGTAGCAAATTACACTGGAGCCAGATAGCTGGATGCCTCAAGGTGCACACAGCACTTAGTGTTTCTCTGAAAATCTCTCTAATTCCCTCAAGCTTGCAGTAGGAGGTAAGTGCCTACATGCTTTTGAAAGCCTCAGATGGCACCTTCAGAAACAAGTTCACAGCATACCTACCATTAGTCTTTCAGTCATAGCTAAAGAACCCTGCTTCTCCAATGCTAATTTACTTCCATTACATGATACAGGAATTCTACCCTAACAAAATCAGTTACACTAGCCTTCAAATCAAAGCAGTCCTCCAGTCTGTCAAAACTATTGGCTCATTCTGTATTTCGAAGTGAAGCACGTAGAAGCATTAAATTTAAACTGATGTAAGTGATAATCCACCACATACACACCAGAAAGCAGACTGGAATAATGCTGTTGTAGCCTTCAAAACTGACATTTACATATTTATAATGCAACAGAAAGCACCACTCTGAATTTAAGTCTCATATATATATTTTTTCAAATCTGTCACCAAGAGTTTCTATGTAGTATTGTGACATAGACAGTGGAGATAGCAAATAAGCACAGAAAGAAGGGCAAGTGTTATAAACCCAAGGAGAAGCGACTTCAGAAGAAAGCTTAAAATGCATCCATTAGAGAAGCAAAACTAGTTCATAGGTGTGGAAAGTGCTTTACAATCCAGTGAGCTATGAAGGAGCAAAGGGGCACACAAGACTAGCCATGGCAACTTAATCTAAATGGAAGAATTGAAGATGCAAAGAAGTTTTATGACCCAGAATATTGAGGATTTATGATAAAAAATAATCCTGTGCTCATGAGTAGAGAACACAAGATCTAATACATAGTAATATTTTTGGATTCAGAAATTCCCAAACACTATCTTTCTGTATTTTGGGGAGGAGGTTTGTTAGGTTTTTTTTTTAAACTAGACTAGAAACTTTCAGTCTTGCTCATTACAGCATGCAAGTATAACCCAGTGTATATCTTTTCAGAACACTCAAATTAAGAAAAGCACCTTCAGAAATCCCAGTTTCACTGTAGAAGGGTACACAGCCACCTGGACAATCAAATCCCTTTTGCAGTATTTGGGCCAACAGGACCCTCTGAGCCCGGAAACTGCCAATAAGAGACCAGGAAGGTGAATGACAGACACCTTGAACATCATACATACTGAAAACCACTCAAAACAAGCAGTTGCCAATGAACTAACCCAAGCTCCCTTTTCTGGGAATCTTCCAGCCTACATGCTGGGTTCTGGTCCACTGGATTCAGTATTAACCTCTGGACTCTGCCCACTGGACTTGAGTGTGCTGTCAGGGTACAGACCATTTTGCCCAGTATACCCTTCTAAAAGGAGCATACTGGTTTGGGACTGACGCTTGTGATTCCTGTATAGCTTAAGCACCCCTTCTCTCAACAGTCCCAAAGTGACCTGGGGGTACTTGGCAAACCATGGAAAGGAATAAGTAGCCAGTCCTCCAAAATAGCAGGGTTTGCCATGCCAAAGGGAATTTTGGGGGATCTAAACAGATCCTTAGTACCAAATGATGCCCTGAACCGGAGAAAATCCTCCTGAATAAGTTTTCAGCAAACACATACATGTATCTGTAGAAGATGGGTACGGGGGG